CTGATGGCTGCCGGCCTGACCCTTTGGCAAGCATCCCACCCATTGTATTTAAATACACCCCAACATGGTTCTTTGAATAAGTGGGTTTATCCACATCCTGCCTGCATCCTGTTGACTCCTGCGCACCAGACTCCCCCTCCAGAGCCCTCTGTATACCAGGCCCCAGGATTTAACAGCTCTTGCCTGACCTCTCTGTGACCCTGAGGGAGACAGTTGAGTGGGGCTGAGATTATCTGGCTCAGAAAGAGAAACTCTGGTTGTGAAACTGGGAATCAGGGGTTCAAAGCTGGCTTCTAGTAAAGTTGAGACTCTGGTCCCAACTGTGTCTTCATTTTGTACACAAGCTACATGTAACATCTGCCTCTGAGCACCGTCAAGGCCACTCGAATACAAAAAGGCCTTGTGGTCCTGTATGTTACCGTGTCATAGATGTTGCCACAGTCACATGTAATGCTTCCCTCTCCTGTTACAGCCCTGTGTGGGATGGCTGTTGTGTATAATGATGGTCATGCTTATGACCATGACCGTGTGTGTGTGTGTGTGTGTGTGTGTGTGTGTGTGTGTGTGTGTGTGTGTGACTTCAATCATTCATGTCACCAGTCACACAGATGATCACGGCCAGGCTGACAGTTCCAAGTACCACCAGGAGCCAGAAGCTAAAGCAGATGTCAGCATGCACTTCCAGAGACTCACAGTGCATTAAGATTAAAGTTGAGAATGAAGGCTGTGAATGCGTCTGGTTACACTTCCCTACAGTATCCTGAGAAACCTGGGCAATGGCAAGCCATAACTAACTACCAAGGTCCTGGTGAGGGCATGCTGGGAGGGCTGTCTTTTCCTGCGTTAAGTGTTGGTAGAAATCCCTCTCCCCTTTTGAGATTTCTTTATGTGTGTGGGTGTTTTATCTGTATGTATGTGTACCACATGCAGCAGTACCCTCAGATGCCGGGGGAGGGCATCAGATCCCCTGAAGCTGGAGTTACAGACTGTTGTGAGTCGCCACGTGGACGCTGGGAATCAAACCCAGGTCCTCTGGAAGAGCAGTCAGTGCTCTTAAGGGCTGAGACATCTCTCGAGCCTGAAAATCCCCAGTTGTAAGGGAGAACCCATCAATTAGGCAGGACTCTGATGGTGGCAACATGGCTTCAGGATGACTTGTAGGGACTGTGACAACTAGACCCCTTTCCTAGGTAGGACACCTTCTCCTAAGTACAGCAGAGCCTGCTTTCTCAAAGTGTATGGTCAGCAGCAAGCTGGGGGCTGTTGAGGGAGTTTGGAAGTGGGTGATCATTGTCCTGTAAATGGGGGCCCAGGGTACCTCCCCAACCTTTCTTCACTCAGTGAGATCTGATGACTAGCAACAAAGGCTGAGAGAGTCAGTGACAAGGCCCAACGCCTTCACTTCCCCACCAGTCAGTCACCTGTCATTAAGCTGCCCGGTGTGTGGTTAAGTCACAACAAAGGCCACTGGAAGCGACACACACTCATTCATGCCTTTGCTGTAATATCTAACTGCGACACTGAGTCTTTAGGAATCTTTGGTATATCTCCACCTTTAGCCTCCACCCCTGCCAGATGCCATAGGCAAGCTTTGAACTGGGTCTCTAGCTTAGCCACAAGGAGTGGAAAGGATGGTACAGGAAGGAAGGGGTACGGGAGCAGAACGGGACTTAGAGACGGACCTGAGGACCAGGTCCTGGCTAGCTGCTTCATGCCCACATGTCCTGTAAATGCATTAATGCTACGGCAGCTGCAACTCCAAGCTGATTCTCAGACTGTCTTCTTGAAATGGGACCTTGGGTCCTCAGGAGGGATACTGGACCCAGTGGTCCTGCTTTTGTAAGTCTTCAGTCATGGTCTGGACGTTTGCCTCTAACTGGACCAAAGTATTTAGGGTGCCCAAATACTTCCAAACAACCCCCTCATAAATCTTTCTCCTGCTTCCACGAATAGTGCATGTTAAAACCCTGACAAACTTGCAGACTTGAGGATGAGCCTGAGTTTTGACTGTGGGGAGCAATTACAGGGGCCCAGAAAATTACAACAGGTTTGCTCAGGGGATGAACCAACAAGGGACTTCCCCCTGAATCCCCGAGGGTTACTGCTTCTGTCTCTGCTCATCTTGGTGTCTTGGAGGGAGGGAGAGAGCTGTTTCCTGACCAAGAACTTTGAATTGTTGACATCTGTGTCCCTTTCGGACAAACTGTTAGGGGCTGGGGAGATGCTCAGTGCTCAAGGGAATCTGATGCTCTTGCAGAGGACCAGAGTTTAGTTCTGGGCACCCACATCAAGCTGAACTGCATCTCTATGGGATCAGAATCCTGTGACTTCTACAGGCACCTGCAAGTGTGGGCATGCGCGGGCGTGTGTGTGTGTGTGTGTGTGTGTGTGTGTGTGTGTGTGTGTACACAAAATACATATATACAAACAAAATAAATCTTTTTTAAAAAGGAAACCCTTTATTTGGGTCAGCTTTGTAGGCTGAGGCTCCCCATGGTCTACAAATATTGCAAATCCTACTTAACTCAAGGTCATTATGGGAAACTGGGTTGTCCCGCCCCCTCCTGGACATGCTCCCTGGTTGCAGAAGGCTCTGGGCCTCATTTCTTTCCAGCTGGGGGGATCTCTCCTAGATCCAGTCTCTCCAGAGATTCAGGCAGGGAGCGCTCGCTCTCAGTGTCAGCCTTTACTTCCACCAGCGCTGCTGCTGGAGACTACCTCAGTGCACACCGCCCACCGGCCTACACTAGCTCCCTCCCATACTCCTGGGCCACCCCCAGTACCCAGTTCACACCTGTCCCCAACCAACTCAACTGCGAACTCCCAACCCCCACAGCACTCAGCCCTTTGCTGCCAAGCCCAATGGGGCCTTAAATACTCCTGGCTCTGGGGACTGTCCCAAGGTCCGTGCACTGGCCTCAGATGTACCCATGCAAGAGGGCAGGAGTCCACATTCCCTGTGGGGGAGGGGAGAGTTGGAGAAAGGCTTGCTGAGTGTAGTGGCTCCACTAACTTTAGATAGTTCCAATTCCAGGGAGCCCTGGGGGTGGGGGAGGGAGTTATCCTGCCAGACAAGTGAATGGCACCAGGAGTTTCCCAGGCCCCCCTGGATTTTGTTTTGGGTGACCCTGCCACCAATTAAAGGCCTATTTCTCATCAGCCTGGGCTTGTTTCCTGGAAAAGCTTGTCCCTTCCAAGATAGGTGGGGTTGTGCCTTCCAGGGTATGAACCTGTCCGATCCACTCTGCACTGTTAGCTCCCCCCCTCCCCCCTCCTCAACCAGCGCCTTCTCCTGCCTTCACTTTAGGATTGTTTACAGTCGGTCAAGTTTTTCCAGATTGTCAAAGCCTTCCTCCTAAGCCTACTGCAGTCAGGCACAAGAACACTGAAAGGGCACCGGACCAGGGCCAGCTGGAGGAGTCAGATGAGACGGGGGGGGGGGGGGGGGGGGGGGGGGGGGGGGGGGGGGATACATGGCCAACTAGGGTCAAGCATAAGCAACTGTCACCAAGTATCCCTTCCGCAAGGGTCCCCTTCTCGGCCCTCTTGGTTCCTCTCTACAATGGGCTTTGGAAGCCTTCCACAGGGACCTCCTCCCCGGGATCCCCCCACCAAGAGAAACTGCTGAGAACAACTTTTACTTCCCCTTAATTCAGTGAGTCCAAGGGTTAAAAACGCCGCCTTCTAAAGGCAAGGTTAAACAGCTGTCCAAACCACCCAAGGAGATTCAGGAGCCCTGGACAGCTGGACGACCCCTCCTGGCCCAGCTGTTCTAGGACAACCTGGCCAGGGAAGAGTTAATGGGCAATCAGCTTTGGCTGACAGTTCAGACTCCAAAGTTCAGTCCCAGCCACCGAAGGAATTGTAAATCTCAGGGCAGTATTTAACAAAACAAAAGCAACCTGGAATTACATGAAGGTTTGGCTTTCCACAGAGCATATTTACTCTAATCCCCAAGGTATGCAGCTCCATGTCAGATCAGCTGGCTTGCCGGGTCCTCCTACCCCCCTCCTTAGCAACAGTTTAAATTTCAAACTAATTCCCCAGTTTGTTCTTCGTCTTCGCGGGCCGGCTGGAGACAGCCCGGCCTGCCGGTCTCAAATCCCTTTCCATTGCTCTTGCCACCACTGGGTGGGTCAGCCTGGTCTGCAGTTCCAAGTTGGGTGACAGCTGGCTCTCCCTCCAATACTCTTCTGCACGTTTCCAAAACCTGGAGCAAGGGGGGGCTGCAGCCACCCACAAAGCGAGAGGCAATAGACAGTGGGGCATAGTGCCACCTCCTAATTCAGGGGAGAAGGATCCCCTCTGTTAAGGAGGGCGAGAGGATCAAGGTTGAAGGTGAGGACAAGGGCTCTTTATCTGCGGCTGGTTACCCCCGCACTCTTCTTTCCGGATTTTAAACACTTGGGCCTCCTAGTCTTTCTGCCAGGCTAGACCATCCAAGTTAACTCCCTGTTTTTCAAACCCGAACGGAATAACCCCTCTCACGTCCCTGCAGAGATGCAGCCGCCCAGGTTTGGACTAGGCAGCGAACTGCCAAGCAAAATACCAAGTGCAACCTAGCAGTCAGGGCTTCCAGCTCTACCCAGGGGCGCGCACACCCCGCACTCAGCGGGGTGGCGGCAAAGTGGGGGAGGGTGGGGGGCAAAACACCTTAGAGATGAAGTCATGAGGCGGAATGGGTGGCTGTTCTAAGTCTAGGGGTGGGTGGGGGTAAATAGCCAACCAGTTACCAATCCCAGGGGAGCCGATCAGCTCAGGACTTGCCAAAAAAGACTCTGGTGCCTGGGAAATTTACAAAGGTTGAAACTGGCTAGCTTAGCAGTTCCAGGTGATGCAAGGGATGGGTGGCCCGAGACTCTCAGCTTGTGGGCGCTGGTTTCCGCAGCCGCAGCAGGTGGGAGTCCCCCCATCCCCCGCACGCGCGCCAGCCCGAGTCCCCTCACCCTCGGCGCCCACTTCCAGGTGTCGCAGTACCACCCCACCCCCACGCCGCGTACCTTTCTGGCGCCACGCTCTGCGAACTCCCGAGCGAGGTGGCGCCCGATGCCTCTCCCACCGCCGGTGATGAGGACTGACTCCCGGGATAGGTCCCGAAGCTTGGGGGGCAACACCAGTCCCACGGCTGCTTTGGTCACCAGATAGATCATTTGCAGAGGAAACACTACCAGCGCGCCCAGCCATTTCCACACCATCCTCTGCGCGGCGGAGCCGGGCACGGGGTGTGGGGGGAGGAGGTAGGAGGCGGTGGACGAAACTCTCCGGACTAAGCAAAACAGGAATTTTAAAAAAAAGAAAGAAAACACCCCAAATAATAATAAATAAGCTAAATAAAGAAAAAGAGAGGCGTCCCACCTGGCCACTCCTGAACTGATCTCTTTCCAGATGCAAAGCACTGGGCGAGGAAAAGGCGGCGGCGGGGGAGGGGGGGAGAGGATATAAACTCTGCTCCGGAGGGGGCAAAAGCGTCTCAGAAGATTGGGACGGTGAGCCAGGGGTGGGAAGTTCTAGAACTTCCTTGCCCCAACAGCCGTTTCGGCTGGGCAATTCACAGGTAATGTTTACAGACCTACAGAGGAGTTTAGTCAAGGCAAGGGAAGGGGGAAAAAAAAAAGAAAAAAAAAAAAAAAAAAGCACCAACCACAAGAGCGCACACTGCCACAGTCCGCGGTTTCAAAGTGCAAGATTAAAAAAACAAACAAACAAAAAGCTGTTTCCCAATTATAGCGCCCCCCAACTTTCCTCCAGGAAAAGGAAAAATCAAAACAAAACAAAAACAAACAAACAAAAAACACCACACACACACAAAACCTGGGGAGTGATTGCAGCTCCCAATTTCAGTCCGCCAAAGTCTCCCGACTCATTGCTATTCTTGGGCTCAGGAAATTGCTTAAACGCGATCTGATTGCCAGCACCGTGCAGGAGAAGTGGGGGGTCCGGGTGTCAGTTTCTTCCCGTGCACGGCTCGCCCTCGCGCGCGCCCGCTCTCTCCCGCTCCCGCCTCCTTCTCTTGCAGCCCGGGCTGGGAGTTGCCGCTCGATCTGGCTTCCTCTCTCTCTCTCCCTCTCTCTCTCCTTCTCTCCCTTTTAGCATTTATTGCCTTCTTTTTGTCCTTTCCAACTTGGACGGGGCCGGCTTGTGGAGCACGCGTGGATAGGACGCCCTAGTCTGCACCGCCGTATTCTTTCGTTCGCGGGGCAGCTGCGGCGTGGACCCACTCAAAGGGCGCCCCCTCCTTTTTTTTTTTTTTTTTTTTTTTTAATACCCCATTAAGTCTGATTGACAGTTAAAGTTGTTGGGAGGCTTCACTACCATGCCTCTGAGTGGCTGCAGCGACTTCCCCTCCCCCTGCGCCGTGGCGGGGCACGCGCCTAGGCGCGCACCCGGTCTCGCTGCGACTCGCACTCTCCTGGGACTGGCTTCTCATTTCTGCAAGCCGGGACTTGCCGCCCCAGTCCCCGAGGGCTCCCAGCTGGAATTCAAACACCCTGGAACCGTCTCAGGCAAGCTGGCTTGCTCCATTAGACATTCCTCCCAGCCCGGGCCAGGTGACCACCCTGAGCGCGTGCGGGGCAAGCCTAGGGAGAACTCGCGCATGCCTTGATGCAACTGGGTCGCCAAGGGTTCATTTCAGGTCACTTGGTCATCCCTCGTGCCTCCAGGTAGGACCAGGAAGTCAAGCTTCATCATTGCCTGGTCCTCTTTTTCCTTCACGGAGTGTACATCCGAAGTTGTACCAACGTGGAGTCTCCCACGTTGCGGAGGTGGAGGGACCTCTGGGGAGTAGGATTTTGCTTTGAGAGAAAGGGGGGCAGGGTGAAGGAACCTCTGACCCCAGGTGCCAATAAAATCCCCATAAGATTAGCTGGGAGCATATTTATTGCTTATCTGGGCTAGAATTACCTTGACTGACAGCAATTTCCTTAATAAGAAAAGCCTGTAAACAACACGTCTTCAACCTGTGCCACTGTTCAGTTTATGCAGTTTCTCCCTCTCTATGTGTGCCCCCCCTCCCCCCGCTGCCCTGTTGGGCACTCACCTTGTAACCTCCTACCCACCCCTTACAAGAACGTCTCCCGGTTGGGAGGGTGGGTCCCAGCTAGTTAGAGTTGCCTGTTGCGGGAAGTCTAGGAGGTGAGTCATGAAAAGCAGGCCCAGTTAAAAGCGCTGATGAGACTTGCCGCCCGCCCCCTCTGCACATCCTTGGGCGGGAGAAGGAGAGACAGCCAGGGAGCCTGCCCTGTAATCTGGGGCAGCCTTTTCCAGCCCTGGACGTGTTCAGACTGGGAGTCCTGGGCCTCAGCCCCAAAGACTGATCCAGCAGGCCCTGGGTGCACAGGGAACTAACTGCTTTTAATACTCCCCGCCTGGGTGTGAGCAAGTCCCTTTGAGAAGAGCTGATTTGGGGAGGGGGTGGGGACTACCTCCTCATTTGCCAACCCCTGTGGTTCTGGGGAGAAACTGGGCCTGAGAACTTTCAGTTTTTGGTGGAGCAAAAGGGATGAAGGTTAGGGAACCACTTTCTGCACGGAACCCCTGCGTTCCTTCTCTTCTGACATTCCACCCTCAGGCTGACCTCGCCTTGGGGACTGTCATCCCATTTCCCAGGTTACCCAGCCAGGAAGTGCAGGAGGGAGGGATTCAGTCCAGACCGAACTTTCTTCCCACCCCACCCCACTCTGGCAAGAAGGCAGGAGAGAGGTGGAGGAAAGGCTTGGCCAAGGACTGCAGTGAAGGGACCGACTCCCTACAGGCTCCATTCTTCTTTTTAAAGGCCTGTCGGAAGGGCTGGCCATTGGCTTAATTAGATCCCATCCCACCATAGTGACCATTTCCTCCCCATCTTCCAACAGGAAAGATATCACAGGGGCAGAGAGTCAGACTCTTGGTGCCCAGCAGTTGCTAAGGCCTATGTAGAAGACACCAACTAAGGAGACCCCAACACACTGCATAGCTTCTGACCTCATATATTATCCTTGGAGCCACCTAGTGGCCAACGTGGGACACTACACCTCCGAGCTACCCCAGTTTCCAGCACTGTGGTGGGTCTAATGAGCTATTCTTTTTGCTTAGGCCTTAAAGATCGCAGCCTCCTCTCTCCCTGTTTCATAACAGAGGTCACTAACACCCAGAGATCCAGTCACTCATCCTATTCAGTTCAGATGCCTGAGCAGCTGAGTGATCAGGCAGACTTATGTCCATTTCCCACAGGTGTGTGTTTGGGATAGAGGACAGGTAATAGGTGGAAACACACTGAGAACCCCAATGGACCTTCACACGTGTCCTAGACACACCCTAATTTCGTGACTGGTCCAGGGAGGTGGGTGTCACGTGGCCTTTCAAAGCAGGAGGAAATTAGGCCCAACATATATAAGTAACTCATGCAAGGCCACACAGGATGCTTCCTGCTGAGTCTGAGATGTATAGTCATAGAGGGACACAAACGAACGAACAGACAGACAGACAAACAAACAAACACCCTGCCAGGCAATTCCAAAAGGGACTGTCGATTCAGAAGCCAGCCTGAGGCAGACAATGGCCCTGTTTCTACCTGGTCCACTTTCAGGATGTGGATTTTGTGGTCCCGGGGTTCCTGTGAGCCTCAGACTTCCTCCAGCATCAGCTTTCCAGAGGGGAGCTGTAACTCTCTGAACCCCCTTACCCCCCAGTTCCCAGGAAGATGGGGGGTACTAGACTAAGGGTGCACAACTAAGCAGGCTGGCCTGGCTTCAGTAGGAAGTTTGTAATATGGGATATGTACCCCCTTTCTTTCTCTCTTGGGACCCCTCCATTCTGTGTTCTTGAGGCAGGAGGCACAGACTCTAACTCCAGAGGGAAGGTTGAAATTTCACATCCCAGTCTTGGGCGGAGGGCCCCACACTTTTTTTCATTTCCCTCCTGACAACGTGAAAGGAGCCTTTGTGGGGCTTGATGGGAGAGGTGAGCAGCTGCCTGCAGAACTAACTTTTCCATGACTCAGCCTTGCTGGGGCTGGGCACAGCTAGAGAGGTGTAAAGAACAACCCCCCTGCAGGGCCAGCCAGAGCCTTGTGGCTGCGCTGCCTTCCAGCCTTCCTGGTTTGTGATTAGAGACAGTGAAGAGAGTTTGCTAGCCTTAGGGCTAGAAATAGGCTGTCTAGGGACTGGGGGGATGTTTCAGTTTAAGAGCACTTGCTGTGTGTGCTAGCTACTTTTTATGTCAATTTGACACCAGCTGGAGTCATCTGAGAGGAGGGAACCTTAATTGACAAGTTGTCTCTAGAAGATCGGGCTGTGGGCAGGTCTGTAGCACACTTCCTTAGTGACTGATGTGGGCCGGTCCAGCTCATTGTGGGTGGTGCCATCCCTGGGCTGGTGGTCTTGGATGCTGTAAGAAAGCAGACTGAACAAGCCATGGAGAGCAAGCCAATAAGTAGCACCCCTCCAGGGCCTCTGCATCAGCTCCTGCCTCCAGGTTCCCACCCTGACTTCCTTTGATGATGGTCTGTGATGTAAAAGTGTAAGTGAAATAAACCCTCTCCTCCCCAAGTTGCTTTTGGTTATGATATTCCATCACAGCAAAATAAACCCTAAGACGCCATGCAAGCATAAGGACTCGCGTTTGGGTCCCCAGTACCCATGTAAAAAGATGGATGTGGCAATGTGCTACAATAAACCCAGGGCTGGGGGTGGAAGTGGGCAGGACAGACTGGTGGGTGGAGCCTTGGGTCTTGCCAGCTAGCCAGGCAGCCTAGATGAAAAACAGCAAGATCTAGGGTCAGTGAGAGACCCCAACTCAAGGGAGTGAGGCAGAGACCCACAGGAGAAATTTGAAGTCCTTTTCAGGCCAGTGTTTATGTGTGTGTGTGTGTGTGTGTGTGTGCGCACTGGCATGCATACGCCCATTCACATGCACATGCAAGCGTGCATGCTCACACACAGTAGACTGCCTGAACTAGTTTTACATGGTCCTGAGGTGGTTACTGGCTTCTTGACCACTGAACTTGTTCTGTTTTCCACCTGGTCCAAGCAATGAAGGCAGAGAGTTTTTCTTTTATAAAGCTCTCTCTTTGCCACCATTGCAAATGGGCCTCCAGAGCTAAGATATAAAAAGGCATGCCTCAAGCCTTGCTCAGTGCAGGGATGGCACCATGCTACTGGGCACAGCTGAAGCACCAGCTCAGGGACCTTGCAATGTTCCCTACCCTCCTAAGGACTGACAGCAGCTGAATCCTAGAAGCCAATACTAGTACCCACCACTGAGCCGTTCCGCCCCGTCACCTACCTCCAGCTCTTTTATTTTTTGCAGTGCTAGGAATGGAAGTCAGGGCAAAGGCTCTACCACTGACCCCCGCCCCCCGGCCCCCCGCCCCAGCCCAGCCCTCCACATCTAGAACAGGATTTCAGGTGTTCAACACACACACACACACACACACACACACACACACACACACACACACTCAGAGAGAGAGAGAGAGAGAGAGAGAGAGAGAGTGGATACACACAGACACACATACCCAGATACACAGAGCTACCCCCAAACCCTGAACAGAACCAGCTAGAGGGGTTGAATGAGTGGGGTCTGGAAAAATATCTGTTCTAGTGGAGAAAGGGTCATGTAAGTTTATGTTAAACTTGGTGTGGTGGCACACACCTCTAACTTAGGGGACAGAGGCAGGAGGATCATGAATTTGAGGCCAGCCTGGGCTCCATAGTGAGTTCCAGGCTGAAAAGTTTGAGACTCTGCCTAAAGGTTTGTGCTCTGGAGGGTCTTCCCAATGGGTGGATGCCTGGGGGCACATGAGCTGTGCAAGGCAAGCAGCCTGGGCGGCTTGCCAGGCCAAAGGAAACAGAGGGGGACAGACTTTGGATGGGTGTGGGTCCTTTGGTCTAACAGGAAAGAAGTCTGCAAAGGCCCAGACTATTTCAGCCCCCTATAAAACACCTCCCCTTCTAATACAGAACATCTGTCAACAGGGCTCCTTTCTCTTTGGCCAGGCCTGGTTGCTAGGACTGGAATCACAAGAAGCAGGTAGACTGGCTCCTTTGGCCCCCACAGTACCCCTCACCCCCAGGCCCTGAGCACACAGGTGGGCATTTTTCAGGCAGTCACATCTCCCACCCCATCCTGTGCACAGGCTGAGACTTTCATTTTGTTGCTCAGATCCCAGGCTGACAAGGGGGAAGGCTTTTGCCACTTCTGGGGGAGCTGACGCAGGGGCAGACAGGG